CATATCGCCCATCCCTACTGCCTGTATAAGGACATAAGGAAATAACCAAAACACAAAGATCTGCAGAAACTTTCAAGTAAAAACATCACATAATTTTCCTGGCCACCCCTGTGTGAGTAGTGGTCCCTGTCTGGCCACCCCTGAGAAAAATGTCTGGCTCCGCCACTGGTTCAGAGCAAATAACTCTATTTCAATGACTCTTATGGAATTTATGGAACAAATAACAACCGCTGTTGATCCAAAACAATACGGTGCTAGTATTTATGTTGATTTAAAGAAAGAATTCGACACCATTGACCACAATTTTTTTGTTCCGCTCTTGAAGGAGTAGGACGCTTTTTCCTTCTCTCCTGCCCTCCCTTATCTTCCCTGCTTTGCTGCTTGGAGCCTCCTCTACGTTTTCATCCAAAACCAGAAATTATGGGCATTATTATTTTTATGGATTTGGTTAGCTGGTCTCTTAATAAATTTCTGGAACAAATTTTTCTTCCATGGGAGGACACGTCAAAGGTAGGACCTCTGTTCTGCTCTGTTCTGGATATATATTTGGATTCTGATCACTGGATTCTACAAACTGGCTTGGTGGTCTCCTGGTGTTCTACTAAAAAGCGTAAATAAATAAATAGCATTTGACAAATCATGCTTTTTCCCCTCCAAAATGAGATGAATACAGATTTAGTGAAAACATTTTCATTATTTTCTGAGCATAAAATCCTAGTTAAAATATATTTTATTGGTATTTACTGGTAGCTCATTGTTCTTACATTTTGCTAGTTTGTACTAAATGTTACATTTAAATGTTAAATAATATATGTAAGCAGACTTAGCAGCATTAGCAGAGATGGCAGAGTTAGCAGCATTAGCAGCGTTAGCAGTATTAGCAGAGTTAGTGTTTGCTTTTGTCTCCCGATGATGACATCATAACAAAAGCCAAGCACCACTGTTTTTCATCTAGATTTACACATTTAGGATTTGAATTTAACGTTTAGACATAACATTTAACGTTTAGTAACAAATGGTACAATGTAAGAACAGTGAGCTAAATAACACATTGAAGAAATTTATTGGGGTTTGTTTACTACTGACTTTTAAAAGCACCACACATTTTATAGTCTTTTCTTAGGTGTATAATGATATATTTTTATAAACTGTTGTGATACTAGTTTTGTGATTACCGTAAATTGATGATTTTGTGTATAGACTGGTCTGGTTGGCTATAAAATATAGTTACACAGGGCAGGAGGTACTATTAGATTAGATGCATGCCTGAACACACCATCAACACTTAATTGAACTGTTGTTTTAACACTAGGACAGGAAAATTGTATAAGGACCTGACTCCAGCTGTAGTGTGGCCCTTTTTGATGACGCAATGACAATAGGTGGAGTCAGGGCCTGAAGAAGGTTATAAAAGGGTCCTGGTTTCCTGAATCGAGGCTGAATGCACAGAGAGCGAATAAAACCTGGTCCAGCCCAGTGATGTTGTATTAACTCTTTTCACATTCAACCATTCAAATATTGATGTATTTTCTATTTGGTTACAAACACGTATTAAGGTAAACAAACACGCCTCATTTCCTATTTTCTTTCAATATAATGTTAGTGAACATTTTTTAACTAAGATTTTACACTCAGAAAGTGATTTAAATAATGAAAATGTATTAGTAAAATTTCATTTTAAACTTGGATCCCCATAAACAACAATCACAAGATCCATGAAAGTTTCTGCATCAGTGGAGGTATTGCCACAGCCTACAGAAACCAGCAGCCCTAGCAGAAACCATTATATTTTCCCTGTTTAAACACTGATAAAATGTTGTCTGTAAAAACAGCCTGAGCTTTCATAATAATCCTACACAATGATATATTACGCCTAGAAATGGACCACCGGTGAAGTGGAGGATTTATTGATCCCATATGGAGGAAATCTACATGATTAAAGCTTTCTTTACCAACTGCCACTCAGCTGTTATTTCACTTTAGAGTTCAAACAATAAGGATGAAACAGAAAAAACCCTTTGAATATTAGGAAATCTCCAGAGCTCTTTTGTCCAACAGCACCTCTTTATTAATCACAAATTTCGACAAGCAGTTTAAAAAAAAAGGTCAAACAGGAATAACAATACATCAGAAAGTCTAAGATTGATCAAGAAGGCTTGATATAGTGAGAAACACTTACATGTCTGCCCAGCCGTGCTCTCCAACGATGTCTATAGCTTTTATGTGTTCTCCTGCTGACAGGTACATCTCAGCTGCTGCCCGCGGTTCCTTGCTGCTTTTAGCCCAGTCTGCCTGTTTTGTCATCAGCACGCGAGAGCTCTTTGGGTCTGTAGCCCCAACAAACTCCTGCGAACAGGAAGACAAGATAAGCTAGTGCTTTTTTAGTCCCCAGCAGGGGAAATTCACTTGCTACAGCAACTTTATACAGGAAGGAAAATGAAAATAAATATAGTAAATCTAGCAAATGAGGCAAAAAAACCAAAACAAACAAGATGTAATGTATATACGGTACACACCACAAGACAACTACTAAACCAGCACAAACAGACCATATAAAAGTCAAAAATACCAATGTGACAGACGATAAAGCTTGTGAAATAACTAAAACTGTTTTGTGAGATCCCACAACAATGCATTACATTAGATCTTTCAAAGTCCTTTTACAAGCTTTTGACTAAAACAAACTATAACTCTGTCTGTTCTCATCATAGTTTTAGTTCTTAATTTTTCAGATCTTAGTTTAAAACTTTGACATGAAAAGTTATGAGCCATAAGGGACTGGCATTGCAATTTAGCTAGGCTATAAAGGTTTTAATGTATGGTATTGTTAATATTTGACAAATATTTGACTACCTAAAAATACTGTTTCTGTAATTTTTGAGCCACATTTGTATATGTGAGGTATAATAACAAAAAAAAAAGTTTAAACAATAAATCTTATCTTAGCTGGACATTATCATCACTAACAGCATTAAAACAACAATCACAAGGCAGACAAAGAGAAGCCCAGATAAAAGAGAGTTCAATGAGAGTCAGGTCGGAGAGAAGAGGAGGAGAGTCACACAAACATCAGGCCTTTTCCTCCGGTGTCCTTCCTAGCTAAAACAAACAGGCTCTGTGAGCAGCTGGCCTCACAGTCACTAAAATATACAGTCACAACATCACATGACACAACCTGATACAGACACACGCAGAAACACACATGAACAAGTCAGAGCTGTGTCATCTGCTCCAGCTGTGACTGTTGTCTTTGTGATCAAAACTACAGCGCCCCCCCGACACACACACACACACACACACACACACACACACACACACACACACACACACACACACACACACACACACACACACACACACACAC